ACGAATCATAATTGAATATACCACAATCCTGAACAACTTATCCAACATCTGAGTTGCCCCTGCTTTAAGGAAGAGATAACCTCCAGAGGTCACATCCGACCTGAATTATTCAATGATTCTAATAAGAAGTACAAAATACCTTTTATTACTTTTTATACTTATCAATTTTTGTATCATATTTTGTTAATTATTCCTTCTCCCATCCATTCTCTTAAAAGAAATCACGTGCCACCAGTATGATTAATACCTTCCATTCCTTTTTCTACAGCCATATCCTGTAGTATAGTCATTGACTCTCCATAATGAAATTAATCTTCTGTATGTTGAGAAGATTTCTATTACTACATTAAATTATAAGATTTTATTTAAAAGCACACCTTGAATTAGATGAATCATCCAGTTTCACCAGTGTTTTGGAAACTATCCCTTTCGTTTCCTTTGTGCAGCATATGAACTGTAGCACAAGAAGAGCAGCAATCAATGCGGTAGCTTTTCTTTTCAATTTGAGCCTAAGGAAGAAGAAAAAGGAAGTGGTATTACTATTTAAATTACCTCTTGACAACAGAAAAGGTACTTTCTGCAAAGTACTCCATATATCACTTTAAAACATCAACTGGCCTAATCCTATTTATTTTTTTCAACATACAATCACCATTATCAAGAGAATTCACCTTAGTGTTTTGACAGACATGCTCCTGGCTCTCAAACCTACACTTGGTAAATGCTTTGTTGGGATTTCTGCAGTTTGTGTTTGCTTGGATACCAATATACTTTATTTTAATACATGAAATAATGGGAAACTTGTAAGATTTTTGTCCTTTGATGAAGCATTGCACCCTCTAATAATTTAGAAAAAAGGAATTGCCTTTTTTACCCCCAAGTTTTCTGGTCTGCTGCCAGCAAAGAGCACCAACTGACAGAACCAAACAGCAAAGTGTGTAGCGGTGTCTGAATGCTGCAGACAGTCAGTGTGTTAGGAAGAATTATGTAAATGTTATTCATATTATTGGAAACGTGAAAAGCAGAAGTGGTCTCTGCCTCTCTCCTAGGAATTCTCTTCCTTTTTTTTTTTTCTTTAGTAGGTATTTAATACAGCAAATACAATAATTGAGATAAAAGAACGTCTGTTGCTACTTCAGCTATCTCACATCCTCCATGTATTTCTCTGGGAGATGTGCTTAGCAATTAGGACACTGTGTTGTGAGAGAAGTTGAGAAGAAACTATATTATTAAAATTAGATGCTTTTGAATACTTTAAGAGATCCATTTAAATTCTGAGAATATCCTATTGAGAGTTCCACTAGACATATAGAGTAATAACACATACAGATAGGAAATATACTACAATGCTGCTTTTAAATAACAGAATAGTATTTACCAAGTGACTGAATTACTTTTCTAATATGGAAATTGTTAATTAAGTAATCAACATCAAATTTCAAGATTTTTCTCATCTGTGGACTGAGATTCCGAGAGCCATCCTATGGAATAAAAAAAGATATGGATAAGCCAAAGATTCAGGTGACTGAAAGTGTGTTTGGCAAGAACAAAATAGACATAGGAGAATAATTTAAAATATTTTTTAAAAAGCTTACACAAACACAAAAACTGAAATCCACATAACAAATGTAGGTGGTTCAAATGTTAAACTTCAAAAACCTTTGATACACCATCAAATGTCTGTAATTGATCTGCAATGTTGTAGTTAGCCTACCTTGTAAAAACCCCTCAAACTGTAAGAACAAAGTCATTTTGAAATCACTGCCTTATAAAGTATGCACAATGACAACACTAGCCTTGTCAAGTTTATTTTTAAATAAAACTATTTTAAAGGTGCTAAAAAATAAGCATTCCTCTTACTCAAAAGAAACAATAAAAGATCCCTCTCCTCTCTTTGCTCAGAATGCAAAGTCTCTATAAAATTATAAAGTTTACTACATATGTTGTTACATGCAGTATTAACAAAACCAGTCCTATTTTATCTGACTTTCCCTGCCAAAAATTAGGCAACTCTCATGATTAAAATTATCTGCCAAATGGTTTGCTACCCTCACATGAGATGGAAGACAGGCTTTCAACAGGATATTCAAGTATTTACTCTTCAATACTAAATGCTTTGGAAACACTACCTGTTCTTGTTTATTTCTTAGAAAACTGTAACTGCAGGCACAAATTTATAACCATTTACAGATGTTTAAGGTAAGTTAGAACATAATATATGACTTTAAATGGATGTTTAGATAATCATAGAATCATAGAATGGTTTGGGTTGGAAAGGACCTTCAAGATCATCGAGTTCCAACCCCCCTGCCATGGGCAGGGACACCCTCCACTAGACCAGGTTGCTCAAAGCCTCATCCAGCCTGGCCTTGAACACCTCCAGGGATGGGGCATCCACAACTTCCCTGGGCAACCTGTTCCAGTGCCTCACCACCCTCACAGGAAAAAAATTCTTCCTAATATCTAATCTAAATCTGCCCTCTTTCAGTTTATACCTGTTACCCCTCGTCCTCTCCCTACACTCCCTGATGAAGAGTGCCCCCCCATCCCTCCTGTAGCCCCCTTTAAGTACTGGAAGGCTGCTATAAGGTCCCCCTGGAGCCTTCTCTTCTCCAGGCTGAACAACCCCAACTCTCTCAGCCTGTCCTCCCAGGGGAGGTGCTCCAGCCCTCTGATCATCTTCATGGCCCTCCTCTGGACCCACTCCAACAGGTCCGTGTCTTTCCCATGCTGATGACTCCAGAGCTGGATGCAGTACTCCAGGTGGGGTCTTGCAAGAGTGGAGTAGAGGGGGAGAATCACCTTGCTTGACCTGCTGGTCACACTTCTTTTGATGCAGTCCAGGATGCAGTTGGCTTTCTGGGCTGCAGTTGCACATTGCTGGGTCATGTTAAGCTTCTCTTCAATCAACATCCCCATAATCCCCAAGGAGATTATGTAATTAAACTCTTATTAGTTAATTCAGGTTAGAATAGCAAGTTCTTTTGAACTATCTTATTTGTGACAGCTAATTTAGGTTGTCTAACCAAAGTAAAAAACAAAACACAAATACATTTCCATAAACCTTTAATTATCCTAGGTATTTCTCACTGGTTTATAATTCAGCTGGCAAACAGATTGCCAGGAAGGTCTTTTAAAGGCAACAGAATGCAGACAGTACCACAGAAAGTTTCTCTACAATGGTGAATTGATTATGCGTAGGTAGAAAATAGACTTAAAAATAAAGCCAAGACTTTTACTGTCCAAAGAGCTTTTGGCATTTATTTGACTATACATCTCTAAGAATAAAAAGTGTTTCCACTCAGTTTCAGGACCTTCCTTAATTTAGAGACTGAATTGCCTTTTTCTTTTATTTTCTTTTTTTTTTTTTTAATTAAATAAACAGTAAATAGCATTTTGACTAAAACAAAATTTAACAAATGGATTAATTTTTCAGGGCTGAGTTATGGAAAAAGACAATAGCATAGTCTACCTGTGCGACAAAGTCTATTATCCTCGCCTTGATATCAACACCTTCCAGAGGGACAGGATTTCCCAATGTGTCCTGAAGACCAGTTTTTACAGGAATGGAAAGATTTGCATTTGGTAATGAGTTTACAAAAGATTTAAAAGTTATTTTTTAAATATAGATTCAGGAAAGGTGATTAAAGATGATCCTATATCAACAGTCCGTGTTTATGTAACTCACAACACAGAAGTAACAGTTTCTGTTATGAATACTTAAGTTGTATTGCTGAGCTGTAGGCTGTCTGTCTAAGGGATCATGAGTTCATCACAGTTCTTTAAGGTCTTACACGGTCTTTGTTTAGAACCTTGTATTTGAATTATTTAAGGACCTTCTGATAATTTATGCAAAAGTGCTTCCTGTGCCTCTCTTGAAACACACTGTGACAGGAGGAGTTGCAACTGCTGTTGGTAATTATGACTATAGGAAATCTGTTAAATAGATGCTACAGAGATGCCACATGGTAATCACTAATTTGGTAACATCTGCAAATAAATGACAAATTATTTTTTATTATGTTGTCTTCATATAAGTAGTCTAAAAAGGGTTTCAATAAGTATTTAGGAAACTCTGGAAGCAAGTCAATATACAAACAGAAAACATTTCTTACTCTCATGCTGTAAACTACATTGCAACTCTGGCTCACTGTTACCTTGTTCCAGTTCCAGCTCAATTGCAAGCTGAAATGGTTTTATTTGATCTTCAGCAAGGCAAAACTTAACAACATATCTAATTTTAACCTGACAGTCTAAATACACAGCAAATTCCTCATCCTGGCAGAAACAAAGAAAGGTATTTTACAACAAAAACAAAGCTGTAGATAATATCTAAAACAATGCAAATTGATTAAGAGTGAACCTAAATGATATTATTTTTGAAAACTAATAAGAATCTGACAGCTTTTATTTTCACTCCCTTGATGTCTCTGTGTCACTACCACTTGCACCTCTTTTTACTTTGTATTTTCCACACTCCTTATGTTTCATCTTCTTCATAAAGCACAATCATTCCTCAAAATAACTAAGAACAAAAAAAGTAAAAACTGGTGGATATCTAGAGAGCAACTGTATCGGTCAGTGTGCCACTACAGCTATCATCCCTGCCTTAGAGTACTAACTTCTAAGGACAGGGATTTTTAGCAGCTGGATTCATTTACAAAACAAAGAAACTTCCATGGCAGTGATTTCTTATCCCGTACAAAATAGAATATCACTTCCAAATAAAAATTTAAATATCACAGACCAGATATTTATACAATGATTCGGTTCTAATAAAATATAATATTTACATCTTTCTTTTAAGTATTGTTTTCTTGCAAGAAATCTCTAAAAATAGCAATTTAGAGGCCTGCAAGTTTTATATCCTCTTTACGGGCTGCAGGACAGACAAAAGTGATTTTACACATTACTACTTAGTGATTTAGTGTCTGAAATGCAGGTTACATTAATTCTGTTATCTATCAGTGGTATAATAAATTCAAAATTTGGTGCCTTTTCAAGTGCCCAATACTGCAGGATCAGTACCTCAAAGTCTGAAGAGATGTCTGCTGTTTTACGGACTCCATGCACACTGTCATAACCTGATGGTGCATTATTTAATGAATAATCCCGTTCATACAAATGCAAGCAGAATTCAAGTGCCATGTCACAAACCGCCAGTAGCTGGGTTCCATCCATTTCACTGGATTATATTAAGAATACTTAATACTTGCACTATATGTAAAGAAAGATCATACACCTTTATATTAATGTAAACATCATAGGAGTTTAAGGATACACAAGTACTTCTAAACAGATGGACAGGAATAGACTTAATAATTAAATTACCTTAAAAGTATTAAGCATTGTATCTACTTACTTTGAAAAGTAAAAAGAATACACGAAGGATAAAGCAAAGAGATATTGTTGTTATTCATACCTAACAGAATCACTGAAGTAAATGCCACTGCCCAGATTCCCAGTGTCAGTTATTTCCAGGCCATGATCTTCAACAACCACTTTTGGCATTAGGAGTCCTCTAGAGAAAAAGAACGGCACACAATGAATTTAGACAAAATGTCAATGTCAAGTGAAAGTCAACTACTGAACTTTGCTGAAGACAAACAGAAGTTTGTGTGTTCCAAGCACAGTGCTCCTTCCATACTTGAGCAATATATCTATTTGGGTATAGCCGCTTAGTAACCAGTAGTTGCTAGGTAGGTTTAGAACTTAGCTGTCTAACCAGCATATTTACTCAGTAAAAACAAACTTGGGGTGACTATATATATATATATAATTGAAGCCCACTTCATTCTGCCCTGTATTAATGATCTAACCATTGATTATTCCATTTCTAGAACCATCTTCTCTTCAATTGCTCAATATTTACCCATTTAAACTTTTTATTAATCAAATGTCAGGAACATTAAATAGAATTATAGGCGAATCTGCAGCATAACTTTGAGAAATATGTATTTTTCACACTATTGAAAGCTAACTAGAAAGGGATGGCAAGTTCTCTACATAATCAAAAGGTGACCAGGTATTCCCTACCAGTCCCATCAAGTTTATTCACACACTAAAAAAAAAACCAACTTGTTTTACTCAGAAGAACCCAAAATTTTACTTTTATGTTTACTTTCCAGTTATTTTATAAAATGCCTGGAAATAAATAGTGAGAATCAGAGTAAACAAGTCTAGACCCCATACATCTTATTTTAATAGCTCTTTTATTTTAATAATAAGTAGAAAGCTCCTCACAATTAAAAAAAACCAAACCAAACCAAAACAAAAAAAAACCCCACTAAAATTGACAATTTTATTCTAGTATAGGTTATGGTAAATAAGCCAGCTTTGCAATCCCAGTATCACAATCAACACTGCACAGTAACAGAACCTGATAATTCAGTCCTCTTTAGAGGCATTTTGTACACTATACCTTAATTTTACTGGAATTGTTGCATAACTATTAAACACACACTTCTAATTGTTTTTTAACACTTGTTGTTCCAACACTGAGAAATTAATAACTTGTTGAGTCAGCAGCTTCAGTCTTGCACCTCAGAGCCTTGGTATTTGGCAAAGATGTAGGGTTTGGGCATGATGTATTTGTTTCATGTATATTAAACACGTCTCTGATTAGCTAGAAAATAAAGATAGAAATTTATGAATATTTGATACATTTTGATTAAGGAAACACACAAACCAGACTGAATTATATAGAGTTACAGCATAGCAATAATGAAATGAAATACTCAAAGAACATTTCCACTTGTTAGACACAGTTTGGAACAAGAGCAAACAGCTGTAGAATCCCATGAAAACAATTCAGAAGAACAAGGCATACGAAAAATAGTGTTAAACTGCTTCTGTACAACTCCAAATCAAACTTTGGATGGAGGCTACTCATAACAGCTCCACAAACCAGTGTTTGTGCTTGGTTACCATTTTGATTTTGCTTATGAGACAATTCTTACTTGTTAGAATCTGTCAATTTGTCCCCAAGGCCACTTTCCAGCTAAGGCAGTAGCACAAGGTACCCATGTAATTTTCTCAGATCAGGAGAAAATTTGAAAAGATTGTAATGTTACACTTCACTAAGCCATGGGAAAGTTTTATGAGACATAGTAATTTTTTGATATCACAAAAGTTAAAAAGTTTTAATTATCAAAAGATTTCCAAGGTTAAAGGCACTATTAACATTTGTTCTTTTAGAACAGTAAGGAGCCTCTTTTTTTTTCTCCTCCTTAATATTGTGTAACTTACAGAAGACTGACTTCCAGATATCCTTTGTTGAAAGAAAGAGGTACCTCTGGCAGAATCTATAGGATTTACATTATAATCACAATACAAGGAGGAAATTTGAGTTTGCTCTGTAGTTACAAGAGTGATGTAGCTCTGACTGCCTCTTGCCTCTCCAGAGGGCCTGTCTGCTTGGACTCAGGGCCAGCTTTGACAGTATGTCGTGGTTTATAAAACCACGGGGACAGTTTTGTGCTAAACACCTGGTGGGCTGAGGCAGGGACAGGGAGGGTTTCACTCACCACTTAGGGTCACGGGCAAGAAACCAATGCGACTCGTGAAGAACAAGAAAAACAATTGAATTTATTAACTATTTACAACAAGAAGCAAGATATTGAAAGAGAGAAACCACATCTTACAAAAAAGGCACTTCTCCCCCATCCTCCCCCCCCCCTCCCTTCTTCCCAAGGCTTTGTTCTGAACTTTCTCCCCCTCCTGGCGGCAAAGGGGGGGCAGGGAGTGGAGGGTGCAGTCAGTCTGCCTCTTTCCTCGTCACAGTCTCTCCCGGCTGCCACGTGGAGTCCCTTTCTCACGTTGAGAGTCCTTCTCCAGAACTTCTGAGTCCTTTTCCAAACAGGGCTACAGTCACCCGACAACTGCTGACTCCGGCGTGGGGCTTCTAGTTCCAGCATGGGATCCTCCACAGCTGCTTCTCAATTCCAAACGGGGCTACAGTAGTTCCTGCGTGGGGTCCTCCACGGCTCTTCACCATGTGGCAGGGGAAATGATGAGAGCGTTCTCTTCTATGGTTCCGACTCAGTACCTGCATGGCTGTCTCTCTCAAAATCTTGCTTCTCTTCTCTGCTGCAGGTGTTCATCGGCCCCCAGGAAAACGGACTTGCGGGCAAGCCATGGCGTAGGCTTGGGCTATGGCAGG